AAACATGGGCATTTAGTATACGATGATCTTGATGATATCGTAACAATTATGAACAATTATTTCTGCGTTCAGGCTACTGTAAAAAGTCCTGACCAAAACCTACCAGAATTAATGATAAAAACGGATCAGAGATTATCCTCCATCACACTGAGCTCCAATGAAGTTAAAGATATTTTTCTTTCTGTTGATGTCACTAAAGCAACCGGGCATGACGGTATCGGTAATCGAGTATTAAAAACTCAGCGCTCTGGTAATATCCGACCCATTATCTAAATTGTTTAGTTCCACTCTTAATAACTCAGTATTTTCAGACATTTGGAAAATGGCTTCAGTAATACCAATTCATAAGAAACGTTGTATAAATGAATGTAACAACTACAGACCTGTAGCACTAACTAGTTGTTTAGCCAAAGGTTTTGAAAAATGTGTTTTTAAATATGTATTTAATTATCTCAGAGACAATAACTTACTAACAAATCTTCAGTCCGGGTTTACCCCTGGAGATTCACCATCTTACCAATTGACTTACCTTCATGATTTTATTGCTAAAGAATTAGATAAAGGGAAATAAGAGCAGTTTTTTGCGACATAAGCAAAGCATTCGATAAAGTATGGCACAGAGGAATCATTCAGAAATTGAAAGCTTACGGTATTTGTGGCAAACTACTTTTATGGTTTTAAAGTTACCTCGACGATAGAAGACAGCGTGTCGTAATCAACGGCTTCAGTTCCGAATTAAAACCAGTTACAGCTGGTGTACCACAAGGTTCCGTCTTAGGACCGCTATTATTCTTAGTTTATATCAACGATACTGTCGATGGCATTGACAGTAATATACGTCTGTTTGCTGATGACATTTCGCTCTATGTAGTAATAAACGATCCAAATGTAGCAGCACAATGTCTGAATAATGATTTATCTGTAATATCAGACTGGGCTAAAAAATGGCAAGTTGATTTTAATCCAAATAAAACGGTCTCTATTCAATTTACCCGTAAACACATTCAGAATATCAAACCAGTCTTATCGATGGATAACACTAACATAAACGACGTCACATCTCACAAACATTTGGGAATAGCTCTTCAACAAGATTGTATGTGGCAAAGTCAAATTGAAAATGTCATAAAATAAAGTCAGTCCAATGATAAACTGCCTAAGAAGTTTTAAATATCGCTTCAACAGGAAAACGCTGCTGACAATGAACAAATCATTTATTTTACCAATATTTGATTACGCGTGTCATGTATGGGATAATTGCACTAAAGAGCAAACGCTTCTTCTAGAGAAATTAAATCTAGACGCTATCAGAACTATCTGCGGAGCTGTTCGCGGCACAAGTCATAACAAACTATATTCTGAGACAAATATTTTCTCACTTGAAAATAGAAGACGCCGTCAAAAATTATACATATTTTACAAAATGGTTCACAAACTAGTTCCAGATTATTTGTCTAGTTTAGTTCCAGAAAATGTATCATCTGTAAGTGGATATAATTTGAGAAATAATTCTGACCTACAAAATATTAAATGCAACACTAGTTTGTACTCCAGGTCATTTATCCCTGACACGGTAAACATCTGGAACTCTCTCCCTCCTGATATCGTAAATGCCAATACTCTTGGGGAATTCAAAAACAAACTAAAAGAACACAACACCAGTCAAATCTACTTTAATCGTCCTCATGGTTCAAGATCTTCCCAGATAATCCACTCCCGACTTCGGCTTGGGTGTAGCGATGTAAATGGAGATAAGTTTTCCAGACATATATCTGATAGTCCTGAATGTAACTGCGGGCATCACACCGAAGATGCGCTTCATTTCTTCCTCATCTGTCCCATATTTAACGACATAAGATCAAATGCATACTTCTTTAGTAGAGGATTTAATTTGTCATCAATCTTATTCGGTCATTCGGGCTCATCAGAACAGGTAAACCTGGAACTACTAAAATCGGTACATAACTACATCATCCCGGAGATTCTCAATTTATCTAACCGGAGTTTTATTGTACATGCCGTGCCTTGCTGTTATACTGAGATCACAACAGCTTCTAGTTATTTGCCTTCAACGAAAGTTTGCAAATTGTAACACATTATATCGTCAATATTGTTCCTTGAAGATTCATATTATGTTTTGCACCCAGCTCATGTGTACGTCACTATCATTATTGTTATTACTATTGTATCATTGTTAGGGAGCGGCATTGATATAAGCATGTTTTATTGCTTGTTTGCCAATCCCATCATGAGTAAATGAATAAATATGTTTTAAACCAGCCCACTGATGACAAAGTCATCGACATATGCCAAAACATTCTTGGAGTGCCTATCAACAAGTGCGATATTGACAGGAGTCATATCACTGGCGAACTGAAGGAAGTCAGAGCACAAATAATTGTAAACAGTCCTACTTTGCCGTAAAAGCCAAAGGCTGCATACATGTCTTCTCTTTGTCATTCTTACAAATATTATCCAAAATCTCCACGAACAGATGCTAATATCCATGGAGTGTTCTGTACTTTATTTTAAACTTATGTATACTTCAAGTGGTATGTCAACCAGCAAACGTGGTTATAATGGGGTCTTCCCACTTACCCAACTCCTATTGTTTCAGTAGAAGAAATCATTGGGTGTGATAATCCCCTTTAATCCCTTTATTTTGTTCCCTGTAAAATAGTATCCGGGACCAAATGGGATAAAATACTACTACTTTTCACTCAATGTTTGGCTATATTTATTAATTATATACACAAGTTATCCAGTTATACAAGCTATCCAGTTATACAACTTAATACAACATCAACATCATATCACATATTACATCTATATTTCACAGCACAGCTTTCACACTTAATATCCAGTTAAATGTGATACTGAGTCAATGTATGTTAGTTCGCTCTTGTACATTTCCAAGGCATAGTTCAGTTCAACATATCTCCTCTTCCTAGGTGGACGTCTGGCACCGTTTCTTTGCTGTAGAACATATGCCTGTACCTAGTCTTGCTCCTTCTTAACAAAGTTGGACTGACTTCTCTTCGGCAAGCACATCACCTACTCAATTTTACGATGCCACTCCTTCTACATGATTTGTTGTCCTAGGACCTTCCGTTCTGAAATGGTTCCACATTTCGCTGCCATGATCACTTTCCACGCCTCCTAACTTACAGCCCCTGTAGACCAAGTACTGACTGCCACGTCCGTTCTCGTTGGAGACCTAAATGAAGATTTGTTTAACAACAATTTCCACAACCTTCACGATATAATTGTGAGTAAAGATTTACGTAACGTCATTAATCAGCCAGCACGTATCACACCCTTGATTGACCTGGTATTGTTCCAAAACCCAGGACTGCAATACACTAGAGGCCGGCGTTTTAGACTTTAGCGTCGATATCAGTTACCATAAGGGTTTATGTCACTCTTTTCCAATTGTATTAATCTAACAAAGTCTTATGGAAGGGATGTTTTATTGGTTTACGCTCCGCATGAAGTCACCAGCTTGGAGAAAAAGGTAATCCCTACTGGGCGACTTCGTGCGAATTTTTCGCTAAACAGCCAATTATTGCAATTACGGGACATAGTCAGACTAAATTTACTAATCCGGATTAGGACCGACAGACAATTGGAACTAGGGGAAATGGCAAAACTGTTTTATTTGCACATGTACATCGATGTTACATACATCATCAACAGCACTAATTAACAAACTAAGCAGGTGTGCTGCTGCAACGGCATACTCCCAAAACGGCGAAGTTGTTGACCTGGAGTCTCGTCTTCAGCTGGTCCAGTCTGTTGTCCAAATCTCTGTACTTCCTCCTCTTGGGAGGCCTCCTTTGGCCAGCATCGTACTGCAGTTACCTGGTCTTCGTTGTTGTCTGCTCCATCTTTAAGAACTGTTGGGGTGGGCCTTGCATTACCAACTTCTTTCACCCTGTTGTGCCATCCTTCCAGTGTGTTGTTGGTGCGGGGCTGCGTCAGTGGTGAAGTGGTTCCAGCTAGCTTTGGAGAAGTCGCCCTTAATCCATGTTGTGGTGATGTAGTCTGCCAACTGCGTGCAGCGTCTGTCGCCAGGCATCGTTGCAAGCCGGTGTCCGTCTTCAACCTCAAAATAATTGTGTAAAATAAGATAAAGCATAACATTCATAAATAAAATCTGATATATGAAAGAAGCGTATCTCTGATTGGTAATTTCTAAAGGAATTTTGTGAAAACGTTATACTTACATCATTTATGTGGACAAGGGGCAGCACAGCGCATCGCCGAACAAATCTTTTGACATCCCTGTCGTTGCCGTACTTCCACCTGAAGGCCATCCTGCTGGGTCTTCCTCCTTCCACACACACACTGTGTAAAGTGGAAGAAACAGCCCTTCCACCTGACATCAGGGAAGACTCTCATAGCAGCGTTTCTGGCGGCAGTCAATGAAATCCATCTGTAAAGACAAACAGGAACGTTTGTTACAATTACAATACCAACGTTATATCCGATTTTCAATTAGTTGGAAATAAATAATACATTAATACAATTTTTTGTGCTGCAGTCGTCTTTAGCAGCTGGAACGCTCTGACATAGATTGCTTGCCTCTTTATCTGGTAGCAGCAGGTAGACCAGGGGTACATTTGACCGACGTCTGTAACAGCATGGATGGTGTGCAGCTTGTAAAATATGTGAGGTGTCACATAAAACGTACCATCTGCAAAGAAAGTGTCTCGCTTGACACAACTTCCAAGTTGGATGTGGTGGCAAATCCAGGATCTTGTCCTCGTCCCCATCTTCAAATAACAGGAACTGTCCTCGTCCCCATCTTCAAATAACAGGAACTGTTCCCCGCCTTCTGTTGTTTGGTACTGTTCAGGGGATTACTAGGTCACGACGATGGGATGGTAGAGGAGGAAATGACTTCCTTCCTTGCTCTATACAGGTGTCCCTTCTTCATATGAAACGTAGGTAAGTTGCCAACCAGGGTGGCGTTTTCCGGTGTCCAGTCATCACCCCGCATACTGTTTACTTCTTCCTGGAAGAGCTGCGGCAGAGGTCTGATCGTGGCCTTGACTTTTTCTTTTAGTGTCTCCATGGTTTCTTGAACTGTAGCTGTGCATTTTGCCATGGTAAGACTTTAGTGACGAAAGTGGTCCGGGACTTTCATTTATAATTGTCATAAAATTGTTGAACAGAGTTCACTAATAAATGTCAATTAATTTACAGTGACTTTGAAGTGAACACCAGTTCAGCTCATTAGCGTCTCTCGCTCGAGTGACCAACTGACTAATCCGTTAATCCTGGATTGGATTAGAAACTTCAAAGCAAAATCGCCAGTGACTTTAGTGCGAATAGTGTTCACCCTACTGGTGACTTCATGAGAAGACACCGTTTTACTATACAAGCAAGGCGATTACGAACGATTAAATCAACTCATTATTTCCACAGATTGAAAAAATGTTTAACAACTTCACGTCGGTCAGTGAAGCTTGTGACATCCTAACATTAGCGCTCAGACAATATGTAAAAGAATGCGTGCCGTCCAAACGAGTAATGATAAGGCCTAGGGACAAGCCCTGGTTTAACAGCGACATTCGGCGAGCAGTCCGCATTAGAGAACGGCTGCGGAAAAGAGCAAAATTATCACTATTATCGTGTATCAGTAAGATATTTGAGAGAGTCGTTTATATACCAACATTGCATATGTTTCCCAATGTCAAGCTTCACTGTAAATTGTACATTGTATTATGTAAAATATATTTAATTGTATTTAGGAGAAGGCGACCATAAGTGATGCCTAATCCCGTTGTCATTTGACAATAAAATGTGTTTAAACCAAACCAAACTTCATGCTTACGGTATAAGGGTGAACTCTTGGAATGGTTTTGAAAGTTATCTAGATAGTAGAATGCAGAAAGTGGTAATAAATGGATACAGTTCAAATATTAAATTTGTGGAAGCTGGCGTGCCCTAAAGTTCCGTTTTAGGACCGCTTTTGTTCAGCATCTATATTAATGACATTGTGGATGGTATAGATAGTAACATCCGCTCTTTGCGGATGATACATCGATATATGCTATAATAGATGATCATATTACAGCAGCCGCAATTTATAAACAATGATTTGGCAAAAATTCAGATTGGGCTAAAAAGTGGCAAGTTAGCTTTTATTCCTAGTAAGGACTGAGAGTATAATATTCACTCGAAAACGCAAAATCTATGTCAGACCGACTTTATTAATGAATGGGTGAAATTATTAAAAGAAGTGGATAACCATAAACACTTAGGTGTAACACTTCAAAGCGATTGTTCTTGGAAAGTTCATATAGGTGACATAATAAATGAAAATTAGTCCAATGATCAATTGTCTGAGAAGTTTATAATATCGTTTATCTCGGAAAACGCTTAATACTTTATACAACTCCTTTATCTTACCACTTTTTGATTACTGCTGTCGCTATTATATATGGATAATTGCAATGATTGAACAGGCGATTTTACTAGAAAATGTACATTTAGACGCCTTAAGAACTATAAGCGATGCGGTTCGTGGCACCAGTCACGATAAATTATACAGGAAATTAATTTTAGCACAATTGGAAAGAAAGACGACATCGCTCTAAACTCATAACTTTCTATAAAATGTATCATCGTCTGACTCCTGATTATCTGAACGATCTTGTACCAGGTAGAGTACTCGAACAAAGTAACTATAATCTTACAAATAGTACTTCTATTCAAACTATTAATCGTAGAACTGCAAAGATATTCTCAACCATTTTGGACCGAGCGCGATTATGTCGTGGGAATTTATTGCCCGATGGAGCTGTTAACGCTATTTCCCGAATCAATTTTAAACCATGATAAACAACAACAGAAACTCACAATAACTTTGATTTGAATTTTGGAAACTAGATTTTGTCAAATCATTCATTGTCGCCTCAAGCTCGGCTGTAGTGATCTAAACGCAGACAGATATAATCGGCATATATCGGACACACCCAGGTGCTCATGTGGTTATTATAACGAAGACGTTATTCACTACCTTTTCACATGTCGGAACTATCAAAATTTAAGGACAACTTTGTATTTTTATATTCAAGGATATGATGTTAAAACTACTTTATACGGTAACGGCGCATTGAATAACTCAACTAATAGAGACATTCTTAACTCATTACACCAGTTCATTTCTAAAAGTAACCGCTTCCAGTGATTATCCCTTCAACATATATATTCAGTGTAAGACAAATTTTATATAACTTGATTTTCTGCGGCAGTCCATTTCTGTTGCTAGGCATAAATCCAACACCACAACGAATATATTTGTTACTCAATCATATATCATCGAGCAGAACGAAATGGCGCAGGTCAAAGCTTGAAATCGATCGGCAGATTTTTATAAATTTTACAGGAGCAAGGTCAATAAGATGATTAAACACTCCAAACGTCAATTTTGTAAAGAAGAAATTATGAAATTTTCAAGCAAGGCACCTAAATCTTCATAATTTTATGAATACTCTCTTTGAGCACAAATAGAGAATGTGTTCTCCCAGATTCAGATGATTTCTCTAAATTAGCAAAATGACTTTAACAGCTATTTTGAATCCAAAGTCCAAAACATTAAAACTCTTTTCATGGAAACAGTCCAGTCAAAAGACAAGGCACTCAGTCTGAGTTCACTGGAACAATCCTGTTCAAGTTTGAACCATTCTCGCAGCACGAAGTTAGACTTCCTCATCAGATCATCAAATGTAACAACTCTGTTTGAGTGACCCAATCCCAAGCAAAATGATTGTTGATCACATGACCTCTATGCTGCCCGTCATCACAGACATCATCAACAAGAGTCTATCGGAGGGTGTGTTTCCGCATAACATGAAGACTGCTATCACCAAACCACATAAAACCACACATAAAAAGAACAACGACTCAACGGTCCTTAAAATTACCACCCGGTCTCTAACTCTGTCCCTACCTGTCCAAACTGATTGAACGAGCAGTTACGAAGAGACTCATGGATCATCTGTCTAAAAATAACATTCTGAGTAAATTCCAGTCTGCATATAGACCACATCACTCAACCGAAACTCTGCTACTAAGAGTCGTAAATGACCTCAGATGGGCAGTTGACTCAGGCAATGCTGCATATTTGGTCCTACTAGATTTAAGTGCAGCATTTGATACTGTGGATCATGAGATACTGCTGCACATTCTGGAGCATCACGCCGGAATTCATGGTGTAGCCTTGACATGGTTTCAGTCCTATCTGACAGACAGGAGTCAACTTGTTTCAGTTGCAGATAAACTCTCCAGCAAGACCTTTCTCGTGTGGTGTACCTCAGGGCTCCGGGTCCTAGGTCCAGTCCCTCTTCTCATCTATACAAACCAGCTTCAATCCGTCATCGACAGCTTCAAAATCTCGAACTATTCGTATGCAGATGATACCCAACTCCTGAAGCCTTTCACACCTGCGTTACTATCACCAGCCGTCCAACAACTAGAACTCTGCACTGCCGGAATAAAATCATGGATGAACGGCCAAACACTAAAGCTCAATGATGAAAAAACAGAGGTTCTACTTGTTGGCAGAAAGCATCACCTAACTCATCTCAGAAATGAAGTCACAATTGGTTCAGCACAAGTGTCTACATCGAGACTTGTGAAAGACCTAGGAGTTTGGATTGACGCAGACCTTTCACTGCAGGAGCAAGTCAACAGAATATGCAAATCATGTTATTTTCATCTTAAAGCCATAGGAAACATCAGGAATTACATCACAGCGGAATGTGCCCACATCCTAGTCAGATGTCTAGTGCTATCCAGACTAGACTACTGCAATGGACTGTTGATCGGCCTCAGCAAACACAATATCTCAAGACTACAGAAAGTACAGAATACAGCTGCAAGAATTATTTCTCTGAAGACTAAATCTGATCACATCTCTCCTGTTCTCAAATCCTTACATTGGTTGCCTATTCAACAGAGAATCAACTTCAAACTTCTCTGCATCACTTTCAGCTGTCTCCACAATCAAGCTCCAGAATATCTCACCGAACTCATCACAGAATACATTCCATCAAGATCACTCCGGTCCCAGAATCAGCACCTACTACAAGTTCCCAAATTCCACCTAGTTTCGTATGGGAAAAGGGCTTTCTCCTATGTTGCACCAACTCTTTGGAACTCTTTACCTTTAGAAATCAAACTATGTGAATCTCTCTCAACCTTCAAGTCAAAAGTTAAAACTCACCTGTTTCAAAGTGCCTATGACTGACTCTTTTACTCAATTCTTTTCAGCGCATTGAGCATTCATAAGTGTGTGGACATTTGCGCTTTATAAGTGACATTATTATTATTATTATTATTAATTTTAAACAATGTACTGGAGCGGCGTTTATATACTCTTGCCAATAATGGCTGTCACCCCCTTCAATTTTTAACTGGAGAGGTGTGGGGGTTGGGGTGGGGAGGGGGTGACAACCATTATTGGCATGAGTATATAAGCCACCAGGGCTTGTTCGCCTATCCAGGTTTCTGCTTTGGCGAAATAAAAATATATTTTAAACCAAAGCTTGGGGTCCATGTTTTCAAATGCAGCTGTGAAGGGATAAATGAAGAGCGTCTGCGATCGGGGACTTTTATACCCAACTTTCTGGAAAATTAGCCGGTTTTATCGTGACATCATCGAATATTAATCGAGAGATCGAGATCGATCGAGAGATCGAGAGATCGAGAGAGAGGGATCGAGAGAGAGAGAGAGAGAGAGAGAGAGAGAGAGAGAGAGGGAGAGAGAGAGAGAGAGAGAGAGAGAGAGAGAGAGAGAGAGAGAAAAGAGAGAGATTTTATTTACGTCCCATCCCGTTACAAGGTACATTACAATATATATTATAAAACATCAATACACGGGCCACTCCGTACAGAGTTATGAGAGACGATATATGTACAAGTATTTACAAGTGATATAAACTGAATATTCTCAGTAAAACCTAATTGGTACATGTTACTGATATAAAACATATTTTCTCTTTTTCAAAATACTATGGCAGGTTTTGGCACTTTCAGAACATAAAATTTGGGACATGTTCGCAGTCCGATCGGCCGTTCAGATCGTGCCTAGAGTAGCTGTGCATCGTATCATGGTCGCATAAAGCGCACGTTGATTGTATGTTCAGCGTAGATCAAGCGTAATTGCATACATCGCTCGAGCGTGGAAAATGAGATCGGCATAGATCTGGATGGTCGCTGATGG